CTATGGACCTTTCCTGGGTTTCGCTTAAACTAGATAGGAGATGAGTCCTTCTATCCTCCCTCCAGGGTTGGGGTATTTTCTGGTCGTGAGCCTTGGGGCTGCGGGCCATTGAGACAAGGCTGAGAGGGAGTTGGCCTGTCGACCTGAGTGTGTGAGATGAGATAAGGTGTGGTGGTGTGGAGGTGGTTATGGTTGGGATGGGTTGGTGGATGGTTATGGATGGATGTGGATGTGTGGGTTGGGAATGTGTTAAAAACTGGACATTACTATTACATTTCTACTGTTACTTACTTCGCACGCGCTAAGGATGCAAACCATAGCCAAATGTTAGGATCGCCAGATCCTCTTGTTTTACCTTTTCCACTAAAGCTCATCGGTGCTGACCATGGCCTACACACATCTGACGGTGTGCAGATTTCCTGCTTCTCAGAGATGCTGACTAGAGAAGGATTAGGAGGTCTCGTGCCTACGCTCAAGTTTAGTTCGGAGATGGAATCTACGCTGCACTACGCCAACTCTGATGATGACCCGTGAAGGAGAAGCCTTCACTCGTTAGTCTTCCGCTAGATTAACTCTGTAATAGGTGTGTTCCCCAGTGATGTAATATCTTATATTCTTGTAATCTTACGATGTATGACTGTGATATCGACTGACATAAGATAATATGATGGAATCAACTATTGGTTTCATCATATTATAATTCATTATGTGGATTTTCCCTTCACAGAAAATTGAGGATGTTTCAATAGGGTAGACTATATTTCAAGACCTGAACAAGCAACAACATGCTATCGGGTAAAGACAAATCTAGGTTGTAGTGTATTAACGCTGAAAACCTAGCTTAGGCGGCACCTATAGCTTCCTTCTCATACTGCTCCAAATCAAGGATTGCCCTTGGTAGAGAGACGATTCAGGACTTAGAGAAGAATGCAAGACAAAACTTGTTTTTAAGTTCATCCCAATCCCCATTCGTACTTCCTACAGCATGTGTGTACCATTGCTTTACCTTCCCCGTGAGAGAGAAGGGAAACAATTTTCACCTTAGTGTTTCCTGTGTCATGCCTGAGATGCTCAGGCAAGAACACATTTCCTCGAACTCATGCAGGTGATAGCAAGGGTTTTTGTTTTCAAGCCCTGAGAAGGGTTGTGCCCGAACCATGGCTATGAAGCCAAGGTGGAGTTCATAGCCAGATGAAAGTTTTGGTTTTGGAGAAAGTGGTGGCTCAAGGAACTCGCCCTTTGAAGCAGAAGGGTTTGGAATTTGAGTTGGCTTCATGTTGACAAAGGTAAAAGAAAATATTTTATTTTTATAAAAAAGCAAAGATACAGATACAAGGATGAACTAGGTTCGAAGAAAATACAGCAACCGTTCCCAAGCAACGGCGCCAGAAAGCTTGTTGGTATTTCTTAACGCAAATAGAAGGATTCCACAAGCACACGGGTTTATCGTTGTAGCTTTCACCTAAAAGTATTTAGGGTGTCGTATTTTCCACAGGGAACGAAGGTACTTCTTCTAGCTAATTCGTTCATAAACAACACAAGGGTAAAGTTAGCTAGGGTAGAGATAGATTCCTATGGTTTTAGGATCTATGGATAGATAAACTCTCCTTATACTTGGTTACTTTGGGCACCGGATCGCACCTGGTCTGCAAAGTGATGCCGGCCTTTAACTCTACGCCAAACCCGAACGTGGGGGATTACAAGGGACAGACAAGGTTGTCACCACTTGTCACCTACCCCTTAAACATGGGGAATGAGGCAAACGAAGGTAGCCTCTAGCCTAGACACCACGTCTACGCTATCGACTACTACTCTAGCGTCACGTAGGGTTATTCGTCTTTATCAGAGCCCTCTACTAGAGTATCCGTTACGAAAACGGACGATGAACCCACAAGAAAATAAGAGCAAAGCTTAACTAATCAAAAGACTTATAACCAAAAGAATCATGAACAGTTACTAGAGGAAGATCCCGTTGAGGTACAATAGTAGGTGTTCGTCAAGTTACAAGCTTGAGGAGTCTACTGACAAGTCTGGCACTTCCCCGTACTCTTCCCTCACATCTCTCCCTGTGACTAACTTTAACTAGCTATGGCCTATGCCTTGGAGTGATGCCCTAGTGTGGTGTGCTCCTCCCTTAGAATGTTGTTGTCTTTGGGGGGGATCTCCCCCTTCTTTTATAGTAGGTTAGAGGCGGTTTGAGGAGGGATATTCCCCGGATACCCACCGCTCCACCATCCACTGCATTGAATGCACCGACCTAAAAAAGATGGGTCCATGGCACGCTAGAAAGGGCACACCAACTGGGCCCAAATGAGCCCAGCTTCATTGGATGGCCTTCTTTGGCCTTGTAGATGAATCCTGCAAAGTTTGGTGCCATTTAGAGATGATTTGATACGGGTTTTGGCCTTTTTTCTCCATATGATTGGGCCCTGATGTGCCTAGTTAGTGGGCCTTCTCTCTTGGGCTCATGTCGGGTGATGTTATGCCTTGTCCTATTACATATTTTGGGTGTATTTTCCTTGTTATTCAAACATGTGCCCTTCAAAACATGTAAACACCAAGACTTGTGGAACTTGTTAGTTATAAGCCCTAATTCTAAGTTTGGTGTTCATATAAGTTCATTTTATCTGATATTTGGCGGCTAAAAATGGGAGTTAAGGACCACCAACAAGGACCTGCTGGACTATTGATGACGACGGTGATCTAGACGGCTATGCCACCTGGACGTGGAGGGCTTTACGGTGCCATATGTCACTTTGTTAGAAGAAGATCTAGTTGACTTCAGCGGGTAGAGCCCTCCTTCACAATCCCCTCTAAGCAGAGTTCTCTTCGTTGCCTGGTCCTTAATCAAAAAATAATTGGGATGATATTCAATAAAGGCATTGTTATCGGATGGAAGACGACGAATGGAGGCAAGATTCTTGTTAGCTTCAGGAACATAAAGGACATTATTGAGGACAAGATTTCGTTAGGGGTACGAATAAAACTTCGACCGATTTGGTTGATTCTCATACTTACGCTGTTGGCGATATGCACCTGATCGGTGCCGTGATATTTGTCCCTCACGGTGAGCTTTTCCAATTCACCCATGATGTGATCGGTAACACCAGTGTCGGTGTACCAATTTATATCCATGCCATAGGAGGTGGTGGTCGTCGATGACGAGCGATGTTCCGGCGGTCCGATGAATGAGGCATCGAAGTGCTTGTAACAACGCAGGGCAGTGTGGCCCTCCTTGTCATAGAGCTGGCAAGTAAGGCAATCAGTTTTGGAGGAGTGCTGGCCAGGGCGTCCGCCATTGCTATTGTTGCCACGACCACGACCATGGCCATGCCCGTGACCACCTCCGCCACGATTGAAGCCCCTACGACCAACACGTGTAACGGCGTTGGCAGAGGACCCGGAGCCGTCGTGCAACAGATCCATCCATTGCTCCCAACTCACCAGCTGGGTGTAGAATTTGCTAAGGGTCAGCGGCTCCATGTGTGCTGCCATGGCAGAGACAATAGGGTTGAATTCCACGTCGAGACAGACCAAGATGTAGGAGGCAATCTCCTCATCTTCTAACTTCTTGATTGTAGCTGCCATGTCGTCTGCAAGCGATTTCATCTTGCTAAAGAATTCAATGACGGAAGATGAACCCTTCTGGGCAGTGGCCAAGGCCATGCACATGTTGATGACGCGGCCACGGGACTATGACGCTGTCATGTCTTGAATCGCCTTCCAAAACTCAGCAACGGTGGTACAGGTAGAAACATGTACCATGAGGGAGAGGAGAGTAGATAATTGAAGATCTGCTAATCCTTGGCGACCCACGCTTCGTAGTCGGGATTGGAGATGAGCTTGGTTGGCTTCTCAACCGACTTTAGGATCTCCTTCGACGGAACCGTTGAGTCGGCATTGAGGTAATGCGTGACTTGGGCACCGCGCAGAGCAGAGAGCATCTGCGCTTCCCATAGGGGGTAATTGTTCTTGGTTAGTTTCTCGGTTACTAGGCAGCCAATGAACGAGAGAGTAGCAGCAAGCGCGGAGGAGGAAGAAGCCATCGGCGATTTGGTGGATGAACCTAGCTCTAATTACCATGTGAGAATGGTTGTAACATGATGCTCTCTCAGGCTCACAGCTCCGTGTTAATATAACTAGGATAAGCCCTAGCGTGGCACTTACATCTTGTATAACAAGTAGATACATCTCATCTAGCTTACAACACAAGAAAACAACAAACTAGGAAATATCCTATGGAGCCGCACCAATCAGCCTTGGAAAGCAATCAATCACGTATACACCATACACCGGAAATTCTGGATCTGATCACCAGATATTCCAACACTCCTCTCCGGTAGTCGTAGCTGCACACATGTGGAAGGTCCCCCATCTGCCCACATGTACACTATGACCTTGATCAACAACACTCCAGTGCCACTACCGCATAGGACTCCTCACGTCCACTTCTATATGCGACACACGTACACACGTATCCATCATTCCATCCACTCTGGAGCCGATGTCGCGCGTGGTAATGAGATCACCATGGTTGTCTCAGATGGTGAATCCATGTTAGGGGTTTAGGGCTTGTTTGGTTGCGCACTAATTTACTTCAATCCATTCTAATTAGTCATGTTTTGAGAGACAGGTAGGAATCAAGTTGATCTAGTTTTTTTCTCTAGCTTTTCAAAATTGTAATGCTCAGGAGCGCCGTCCGTTCGAACAGTGCTTTCTAGGCCTGCGTGTACCGGTCCAACAGGCTTGCTTACCCTCTGCGTCTCCCATCTCTTCTCTCAAAAAATATCTCCCCATCGTTTTTGCCCATCGCGTGCTGCTTTGCGTCGTGCGCTCGTTGCTGCCGTCTTCCCTGTCACGCACCCCATCTGGCGCCGCACGGTTCCCCCATCCAGCGCTGTGCTCCATCCCGTGCCGTGCCCCCTCCATCGCCATGCTGCGCTCCAACCCCACCGCGCTTGCTCCAGCTCGCTGCGCGCCGCACCCCACTGTTGCACACCATGCCCTGTCCCCCGCGCGCGTCGAGGTGCTGCCAAGGTGCTGTAGACGCCGCCGTTCCTCACAGGAGATCGTGGCCGCTGTCGATGCCATGGTCGCCGCGATGCACGATCAAAAGCATATGTTTCAACGGTGGCATCGGCGCGCCACGCGCGGTGGCAGCGGAGACCACGTGCGAGGAGCTTATCTTGTGCAGCGCGTCTGTGCGCGAGGCGAGCACGTTCGAAAGCGGCGCATTTCCCGATCGCAGCCGACGCCGAGCAGGAATGGAAGCTGCAATCCCCCTCGGGCTCGCCCTTCCCCGAGGCTGCACCGGCATCTGCAGCTTCTCCGTACTGCTCAAGTCCTCGACCAAGCCCAGCCTCAGCTGCTTCGGCAGGGTCCCCGGAAAGCTCACGCTTTTCCCGTCCCGCGGCCGTCTCCGAGGACCGCGCCGACGCCACGCCGCAGTGGCAATTCGACTTTCTTGGGGCGAGCGCGGTGACCCCCGACACGCCTGAGGACGAGGATGAGGAGGACCTCCTCCCAGCCGAGGCCACCAATTGGTGCGTCCGCGCGCGCCGCTCTGCCCTGCGCTCCATCGAGGAGCGGGGCCTCGCGCCCTCGCTGCAGCGGATGGTGTCACCGCCCAAGAAGAAGAAAAAGAAGAAGACTGCCAAGAAGAAAGAATTCAAGAAGGCGGCCGCCGAGCTCAAGCGCCGCAATAAGCAGGTGGATGATGCCGAGGCAGACGAAGACGACGACGATGACTATGACGTCGTTGATGATTTGCAGAACATGGACGACCTGGAGCTCCGGGTCGCGCAGTTCGCCGACGGCATGTTCGACGAAAAGCGCCAGAGAAACAGGGAGGCCTTCGTCCAAACCTTGTCCAGGTTCTCGGCCGCGCCTTCCAACCGGAGCAAAGAGGTGTCCTTGAATCGCTCCATCGTCCAGGCGCAAACTGCCAACGAGGTGCTGGACCTCACGGCAGAGGTGATCACCGCTGTCGCCAAGGGTCTCAGCCCCTCGCCGCTCACGCCGCTCAACATCGCCACTGCGCTCCACCGCATAGCGAGGAACATGGAGGCGGTGTCCATGATGCAGACGCACCGCCTTGCCTTTGCACGCCAGAGGGACATGTCCATGCTCGTGGGTCTGGCCATGGTGGCCCTGCCAGAGTGCTCGCCGCAGGGTGTCTCCAACATCGCCTGGGCTTTGTCCAAGATTGGCGGTGACCTGCTATACCTGCCGGAGATGGATAGGATAGCCGATGTGGCCACGGCTAAGGTTCAAGACTTCAATGCACAGAATGTTGCCAATGTTGTAGGAGCGTTCGCTTCCATGCGCCAATCAGCACCGGGGCTTTTTTCGGCTCTAGCCCTGAGAGCAGCACAACTACTGCAAACATTCAAGGAGCAAGAGCTTGCTCAATTCTTATGGGGTTGTGCTTCTCTGAACGAGTGCCCCTATCCCTTGCTTGATGCACTAGATACTGCTTTTCAGAATGATACCAGTTTTCAGTGCCATGTATCTGATTTAAAATCAAGCGCGCATCAGAGCTTAGCAGAAGAACTTTCTGGTGGAGAAGGTGGTAGCACTAGCAGTGCCCGTACACTGAACTTCAGCCGAGATCAGGTTGGGAATATTGCTTGGTCCTATGCTGTTATTGGGCAAATGGACCGTCCATTCTTTTCGCATATGTGAAAACTCTGAGTCAATTCGAAGAGCAACGGATTTCGGAGCAGTGTAGAGAAGACATGATGTTTGCTTCACAAGTTTATCTTGCAAACCAGTCTTTGAAGCTTGAATACCGAAACCTTGGACTGTGCTTAAGAAGTGATCTTGAGGAGAAAATAACAAAAGCTGGAAAGAGCAAAAGGTTCAATCAGAAGACAACCTCTTCATTTCAAAAGGAGGTTGGCCGTCTTCTCTATAGTACAGGGCATGAGTGGGTTAGAGAATATGCAATCGATGGTTACACTATTGATGCCGTGTTAGTTGGTGAGAAGCTTGCATTTGAGATAGATGGGCCGACACACTTCTCTAGGAATTTAGGTATTACTTCTGTTGCTTTTGTGTGCCATTCTGATGGAGCTACAGGCTGACATTTTCATCGACATCCTCTCTATCAAAGAAGAAACTAATTGAAGTGTGCTAATTTTGCAGGTACACCATTAGGTCACACAGCATTTAAACGACGCTACATTGCAGCTTCTGGGTGGAAGTTGGTTTCCTTGTCTCTTCAAGAGGTTAGTCACATGCTCATGGTCATATGTGACACTAATTAGTAGCCATTATGAATTTGTACTATAACCTGGTTATGGTTTGCAATTATTTTTGGATTATTCTACTGTACCCTTAGGATTTTTCAGACCAGAGTTTCATAATAAAAGGTCTGAAGTTAGGCACATTAGAAATTAGTAATAAAGTTTTTTTGTTTTCGAAACAAAGGCACCTCAAGTTATTTCTGCACGCACTTAATTCCATTCTAAACTTCAAACACCTGATGTGCATTGTGTTACAATTTCCATTGACGTACGAACTCTCAACAAACTTTGTTACCAAGGAGTAGCGTAATATGTCACCACCCCTCATCAAGATTTGGACGTACACTGGGTTCTGGCTTGAATTTCAGTAGATTAACTGAGCCCGTCAGATAGCTGAAAGGTTTTCTTTTTGTTCTGAGACTTACCATGATTATTTTGTTTCCATTACAGTGGGAGGACCTACAAGGTGAGTTTGAACAATTGGAATATTTGAGGAGAATATTAGACATAGAAGCTGAATAAGCGCAACACTTTGGGCAATGGAGATTAAGCAAGAAGGCGTCTGCTTTTACAAGAGTACTTTTACAACCACACTGGCCTTCCCAAAAGTCCAGTCCACTGCCTTGTATATTTTTGTAAACCTGTCTCAAAACAAAAGTGCTCCACTGAACCCTGGGAAGTTAGAAGTTAGCTGAGCACTGGTAAGGAGAAATACAGTTTAAACTTCAAACTAATGCGTGCCATCTTGCGCTCTGTTCGGCTGGCTGGAAAAACGGATGATGCTGATGCTGATGCTGATTTGTTGGGAGAGAAAAACACTGTTATTTCGGAGAGCTATTTGGTACCAGAGAAGATTGAAAGTATTGCTAAAGCCAGTAATTCTTGAAATATCATTGCATGTCAGCATATATGAATATCATACTATAAACAATGCAATGGGCAATAAACTCATTACAGAGGTTTCTGCACATTGTAACAGACTGTGTCGTGCTTTGAGTTTGATTAGTCTGACATGACGATGAGACAAGCATCCATGTTCTGGGGATAAATACTTTCATTACATCAAATTACGAAAGCTGACATCTTACTCCAACAAAATTTACAAAGAGGATATGAATTTCTGACGTGTAAAATTTTTACGCATGAGGGGTGTGTCAACATTGGTCGACGGGACCGGAGGTCATCGACCGTTTGCCGCCGGGAGCACGGGAGGCATCGCCGCCTTAGCGCGGGATCTCGCTCTTGGACTCTATTGGCCTGAGGAGGACGGGGGGCAAAGTTCGCACGGCCCGGCCCAGACGAATCAACTGGGATACGGCCCAATCCGAGAATTACACCGTTTTTTTATTTTTTTTTCAAACAAAGAAACCGGTAATCAAGCAAGATGAGATTCCTTCCCAAGTTCCCATGCTTAAACCAAGTTTGAAAGACACCACGTACAATAAAACCATGTTGGAAATATCAGCATTACTTGCCTACATCTACATACATGGCATCGATAAAATCTGAACGCAGGTCCCTGGCATCACATTTCTCCAACTCAAAATGTACACTAGACTTCAGTCCGGATTTGATACACGTGAATGAGACGATTTAAACGGGTCACAGAAATGGGCGTGGAGAACAGGTTTAACAGCCCTGCATCGTTGCTGGATCCAAAACTTCCAATGGAACCGGCAGCAGGTGAATCACAATCAACAGGGACAGGTTCTTCATCGCAGATGAGATGGGGATGGCCCAACTTGCACAGCTGGAGGAATACATGGAAAGAGGGAGTCCAGGACAGGATCACAGCAAGGGGCAGCATGGCCTTATTCAGATCCTGCCAAACAGAGATAGGACTTTTCTCAGTCTTCAAAACCCAAATTTGGTTTTGCTCAAAAAAAAAAAAAAACAATTTGGTTTGTTGAGTGCTAAACTTAGTGAGAAAATAGAAATAGAACTATACTGGCAGATTGAGCAGAACTGCAGGACATTGTGTATTCCAATTTTGAAGCTCCCAGCCACTTATGCTTTATTTGTCTCAGTTTATTATTGCATATAAGTTATAACATGAGAAGAGCAAGTGGAGAATTTGTTCCCTTTATCAGGTCATTTTATCCCTCTTTGGAAGATTCAAGTGGGAATGTTGTGCCCAACATGGATGTCTATGCCACTATATATTGAGGGAAAAAAATGAATTAAAAAGCAGCAGAATATGAGAAGGATTTCTTTTCTGAATCATCTTTTAAGTCAGCTTCGTAGGAGATCGATCAAACACAGCTCACGTGATACATTATTTAATAGTAATATGAACAGGTCAATGAAACTCGATAAGTGAAATCTCTCGATGCAGGAATGAGATTATTGACATTTCATTCCTGGGTTGTTATTGTCAGTATTCAACAAAGAAGACATGTATGGCACACTTAGAAAAGTCTGTAGATAAATATCATGGTAACAGTCAGACTACTTTCACCCTCAACATAAATTTAGGCAAAGGGTTGAAGAAATGCATTTGCTTAGGCAATTATCATAACACAGAAATATCTGCAGACTGCACCAAAAAAAGAATGAGAATAAATGGCACCATGACCATGATGGATGTCAAAAACTCTAAGCAAGTACAATGTATCTGAACCGAAGATGTAAGAATGTAATGGCCCATCACAACAACAACAACAACAACAACATAGCCTTTCAGTCTCAAACAAGTTAGGGTAGGCTAGAGTTGAAACCCACCAAGAGCCCCAAGTCACGGTTCAGGCACTTCAATAGCTGTTTTCCAACTACTTCTATTCAAACATAGATCTCTAGGTATATCCCAAACTTTCAAATATCTTTTTATTGCCCCTCCTCATGTCAATTTCGGTCTTCCTCTACCTCTCCTCATAATATTAGCTTGGCTTAGGACTCCATAATGCACTGGTGTCTCTGAAGGTCTCCTTTGGACATGGCCAAACCACCTCAACCGATGTTGGACAAGCTTTTTTTCAATTGGTGCTACCTCTAGACAATCACGTATATCATCGTTCCGAACTTGGTCCATTCTTGTATGACCGTAAATCCATCGCAACATATGCATTTCTGCAACTCTCAGTTGTTGAACATGTCGAATCTTTGTAGGCCAACATTCTGCTCCATACAACATAGCCGGTCTAATCGTCGTTCTGTAGAACTTGCCTTTTAGCTTTTGTGGTACCCTCTTGTCACAGAGAATGCTAGAAGCTTGTCGTCACTTGATCTACCCTGCTTTGATTCTATGGCTAACGTCCGCATCAATATCTCCATCCCTCTGTAGCATCGATCCCAGATACCAAAAGGTATCCTTCTTAGGCACTACTTGACCTTCCAAACTCACATCTTCCTCCTCCTGTACAACTCCGCCAAAGTCGTATCTCATGTATTCGGTTTTAGTTCTGCTCAATCTAAAACCTTTAAACTCAAGAGTCTGACTCATAACTCTAGTTTCCTATTTACTCTCGCCTGGCTTTCGTCCACTAACACTACATCATCAGCGAACAACGTACACATTTATGACAAAATCTAATTCTTAATTTCCATAAATTATGGCTCCTAGGAACTGAACGAATGGATTTGGAATACAAAATGCACATTTATCATCATGACAAAGAAATCTGGTTAATAAGCCCAAAAATAAAATGACAACTAGGAACAGAAAAACGAAATTGGAACAACAGAAATACTTCTGCAAACAAGTCAGCGCATCAGACCTCATGGAAACTAGACCGAATGATCTTATATCCTAATTTTGAAGGTTTATTCACCTAGGCTGCACATCAGGATTCAGCCCAACTAACAGTAAGCTGGTTCAATTCAGTGACAGGTTAGCTGTACCTTCCTAGTGCAGGAAAAGTAAGGAAGGAGCTGCCCCCAACTCCTTCCCAAACCACTGACTCTCAATAAAATTATACACCCTATTGGTCCAGGTTATCAATTATCAATTAAATATAAACAATCTCAAAACAGCTGCCCCACGTCCATACCCTTTTGGCTGGCACTTGAAATGACCTTTAAGGAAAGCTGATGAACAGATATAAAATTGAAAAAAAAGGGGTCAGGAGAAATATATTATAGATATATGTGAAATGGGAAAGGGCGGGCCTGGTGCAAGTGGTAGAGTCTTACCGCCTGTGACCGGAAGGTCTCGGATTCGAGTCGCGGTCTCCCTGCATTGCACAGGCGAGGGTAAGGCTTGCCACTAACACCCTTCCCCAGACCCTGCACAGAGCGGGAGCTCTCTGCACTGGGTATGCCCTTTTATATATATATGAAATGGATGACATGATTGCTAGAACTGTTTTTGAATGCATTTGGTTGGGTAAGGTTAAGAGGAAGGTGACAAGTGCTCGGAATCACACTGTCTGTCTCTGCGTATTCTCAATTGAACCTCATTCTACTAAAATTTTTCACATTTCTGATATGTTGCGCAGTCGCTTGGAGGTTTCTTCACTTTTTCTTTACAAGGTGTTTTTCTTCACTTTTTCTTTACAAGGTGTTGACAAACCCGGCACATAGAAATACAAGACGTCTCAATCTATGTTCGAAAGGGGGCTACTTATCAATCATCACTTTGGGGAATTCGTAGACTACAATGGGCGAAGGAACGATAGCGACTGACGATATAGCATAGGAAAGCCTTGATGGAGAAGCGATCTATTTGACCATGGGATTTTCTCCTTCAGAAGGAACTGATTAAAATCAGCACAATTATAAATTATCGCTCTTAAAATCAGCACAATTGCACATGAGTCACAGGAATGTATGAACTGGAGCTCCAATTGCACAAACGGCTGCTCCAATCTGTTAATGGATACAAGAAAACTAAAATTCGTGGAAAGAGTAGAGAAGCGACGCTAAGACCAATTCATTCATAGCAAAGCAGTATCTGTAGACATTTGTGCTCGTGCAACAGCATGACAATTGACAGGAACACATAACAAATCATACATCAGCAAGCAGTAGCAGTAACGGTGACAATCAGGGAGAGGGAGGATCTCACACCTAGTGCGAGGGCTGCTGTGACACCGGCGCGTACCAGCGGTCGACCTCGTCGGTGGCGTTGTCCTCCGCCTTGTGCAGCGCGGCGTGCAGGAGGACGAGGACGAGGCCGACGCTCAGTGAGGAGAGGATGTTGGCGGTGGCGTCTGTGAGGAGGAGGAGGCCGAGCGTGACGACGGCGAGCACGGCGAGGACGTAGCCGTCGGCGACGACGCGGCCGAAGAGGACGAGGGGCTCGTCGCGGAGGAAGAAGAGGACGAGCCAGGCGAGCATGCAGACGAGGAAGACGATGAGGGAGACGGGGTGCCAGAGGAGGGAGAGGAAGACGACGACGAGGACGACGATGGCGTAGTTCATGGCGAAGTGGGCGAGGTTGGCGCGCACGCGGAGGTACGCGTCGCCGAGGCTCGGGGGCAGGCCGACGGCGTGGACGTCCGCGAGCTCGCGCCAGGGCCGGCGCGTCGCCAGCGCCGAGGCGCCCCGGGCCTTGGCCCGGGAGATGAAGTCGAGCGGGGAGGCGCCGCCGAGGGGCGCCCCGCCGCCTGCGGAGGAGGAGGTGGGGATGGTGCCGTACTTGGACATGGCCGGCGGCTTCGGCGGCGGCGAGGCGCGGGGTGTGGAATTGGATCGGGGAAGGGGAAGGGGAAGGGGAAGCCGGCGGAAGCCGATGGGATCAACGAATGGGCAGGCACAGAGAGGGCAGAGCACGCGAGGACTGCGGGGTGGGGGTGCGATGCCGTACGGGACGGGGGCCAGTCCGGTGCCAGTTGCGCGACACGGGAACGTGAGTTTTTTTCTTGAAAAAAATGGAACGTGAGTTTCCGCAGCCTCCTGCTAGACGTGGACCGGAACCGAATCCATCCCCCGGTTCGACACTGATGGATGGCAACCGGTGCAAGTGCAAAGGGTCTCGGGTAGCCGGGTAGGTGCATCGAGCGGTCCAGGACACGAGCGGGACACGAGACAGAGGAGCGTCTAATTACGGGTCGACAGATCTTATACGTTCAAATCTGTCAGAATTTAGTTACAAATCCGTTAAAAGTACCAGTTGGAGCATAAATCCTAAAGCACAATCAAACACATAGAAATTTAATAGAATTAGTAAAAAAATCTATCAACGGATAAATAGTAAAAGTCTTGTTTTTCGTCAAAGTATGAAAGTTTTTCTCAGAAAAAAACGATTGTTTTCCATACAAATGCACATGTTTTTATACCATATCAAAATACTCCGCCTATTTCAAATTGTTAGTCAATTTAGCTTTGTCTTATGTTAAATTTATCTAAATTTTAGAAAATATTTTCTCCGTTCCAAATTATAAGTCGCTTTACAAAAAAAAAATCAAAACAACTTATAATTTAGAACGGATGGAGTATATACTAACATCAACAATATCAATGAGCTAAGCTTAGCTTATCAGTTGATATAGATTCTTTATGGTAAAACTTATCTACTCGGGTTCAAAAAGTTGACTTAATGAGGGTGATCATATTTTTTTTCTAAATTTATTGTAGAATATATGTGCATGTATTTATTAATTAAGGTGAGTATGCGTACATATATGTTTGTATTATGATTAAAAAATACCTAAAATAAATGCATATCTAGTATGTTGTAGCTAACTATAGTTGCTAACCAGTGTGGATGTGGTCAGTCGCCGATCATGGCCCTGTTCGGCAGGACTTATTGTTGCTGCGGTTAATTTGTAGAGCTGATTTGTTGTGAGAGAAAAACATTAATTCTGGCTGATAAGCTCAAGTGAACAGGCTAACTTTATAATTGTCATCGAAACAATCATACTTGATAGTGTCATAATTAAACCGATGGTTCAAAATACCGAGTCTTTCCTAATATTTAACGATAACGATCAGACCTGGGTGTCCTTCCGTTCGGACGGACCAACCCGCTCGCGCTACGTATCCACGGCGCCGCAGGTGACACCGCCGCTCCTCCCCTCCTCCGGTCGACGCTGGCTCTACACTGTCCGCGTTTCCACCCTAGCCTCCCCTTCCTCTCTCTCTCTCTCCTCTCCCGATGTGGCCCAAAGCACGGCCATCACGGCTTAGCGTTCTCACCACCGTCCAAGCATCGCCCCGGCGGTGGTGGTTGCTCGCCAAGCATCGCGCCGCAGCCAGCGCCCTCCGGTCCCACTTTGCTTCATCGCTCCTTCTACCGGATCCATCATGCGGCGAGAGGTCAGATGGTGGTGGGGACTACGGCACCGGCTGCAGGGGCTGCGGGGGGCTGCGTGTCGAGCCCACGATACTAGCAATCACGAAGGGATCCCCGGCGACCTCATAGTAGACGAAGTCCATCTGGTCGATGGTGGCAGCGACTCGGTTGCCTTCGGTGAACTCCACACACTGGTGAGCCTCCATTTCGCAAGCAGCAAAGAGATGTTACGATGTGCTGAAAACGCATGTTGCAAACGTATATTTTAACTGTTTCGAATGTTTCAATGGTATGTTGCAATTGTTTCAAATAAATATTACAAAAGTAGATCAGAATGTTGTAATAGTTGTACACGTATGTTGCAAAGGTTTGTTCACAATGTTTCATCTATTTTTTAGACGTATTGTTGCAAGTCTGTTTATCTGGATGTTGTATACGTTTCACATATATATTGCAAGTGTTTCATCTAGATATTGTGTATGTTTCAATGGTTTTCAAGTGTTTTTCATGTGTTTTTGAAAGTGTTTTTCAGAAGCATGTTTCACGTATTTCATTTGTCTTCAGATGTATATTGCAAGTGTTGCATCCGGGTGTTTCAAAGGTAGATCGGGTGTTGCACATGTTGCAATGCGTGTGAGAAGTGGAGGGGACACGAGTGGTCCCCGCGCAGGGTCTGATGGCGTGGGCGGCGTCCTGGTGGCGCAGGCCCCGCATGGGCAGGTGAAACTATAGGGTCGAGATGGCGGACTAGGGGAGTGAACAGTCATTTCTAAAAAATAATTACGTCGGCTAATCAAAGCAAATACGGAATTAAAACTATCGGTTTAGCCAAGACTACACCCCTCTATCTAAGTTCTCAAGCATCTTAAAAAGATCCTAATTGGGCAATAAAGGTACCGGGCTAGCTAGAGCTCACCTAACCAATCTAGCTTGCAAGGTCACACAAATCTATGCAACTAGTACTTCACACAACCGAGGAAGCTCCTACACAATCTAGTAAGCAAAAGCATAAACCCACCTAAGCTCACTAGCAATGCTCAATAACAAGGCAACCAATACCAAATTAGAGAGCGCAAGTTTCTTAGCTACACAAACTAAGCAATGTGACTAACAAGGTTACTCAAACCAAATTAGTCACGCAAGGGAGCTACTTCTATGCTACACAAGCAAGAAGGTAATTAGCAAGCTACACAAGCTAACTAATTACAAGAGCAACTGCACAAGCACAATGTATATAAAAGTAAACACAAGCTTGTGTAAATAGGGGGTGCAAACCAACAGGAAGACAAGAATGACACGGTGATTTTTATCTCGAGGTCCACGTGCTTACCAACATGCTAGTCCCCGTTGTGTTGATCGTTCACTTGGTGGTTCGGCGGCCAATTGACACCACACCAAGCCCACACGTTGGGCACCGCAGGAACCCCACGAACCAAGTGAGGGTACCTCAATGACACCCTCAACTAGAGTTGCTCTTCGTGGCTCCCACGGGGTGACCACAATACCCCACACAATCACTTCTCTGGAGCACCGCACAATCTTCTTTGCATGCTTCGACGGAGACCACCACCAAGACATTTAAGAGGTGGCAACCTCCAAGAGTAACAAGCACCACTGGGTTATAACTCGATCACCAAGTGCCACTCGATGTAATCTCACGATGCAATCGCACTAGAATCACTCACTCGCAATGGATTCACACTTCTCGTAAGCATGAGTTAGAGGCTTTTCAAACCAAGCACACACAAGGGCAACACATCCCCAAGGTGCTCAACCTCAGCCAAGCCCGAGCTCCACCTCTATTATAGCCCTCAAGCCAAATCGAGTCGTTGGAGCCAAGGAACACATTTCTACGTGGTCACTGGACAGCAACGTGCGGGCACCGGACATAGGGTGGCGGTGCCCAACGATCGAATTGCAATGGCTATTTCAAACTATCCGTTGGGACCTTGGCACCGGACAAAGGGTGGCGGTGCCCCCCGACGTGTTTTCCCCCTCTCTGGAAAAAAGGGGCGGTGCCACACCGCCATGGTCACCGAACATTCTGGTGACCAAAACTTTCTCCAAATCAATTTCCACCACTTTAGGCTTGTATAGCTATTCGTTAGCTTTCCAAAAATTCCTAGATCATCAAAATCAGAGTTCGGAGCTAGGAGTTATGCCAGAAATACGAAAGGGTGTTGCTGCTGTTTTTGGGCACCGCCCCTGGCACCGCCCGGGGGTGGTGGTGCTTTGTCCGATGCACACCGAAAAGGGCGGTGCCACCCTCTACATTGGCTGCAAGTTGGCTATGAGTTAGGTTGCAACTATCGACCCCTGGACAACCAAAACCTTGCCCTTTTTCTCCTTTTCAACTCCAAATTGATCCAAATCAACTCCAACAACTCCTCCTTTGCAAATGTGCCAACACCACCAAGTGTCCACCATCTTGTGCATGTGTGTTAACTTGTCACAAATATTTTCCAAAGGATTAGCACTCAATTCACTACGCCACTCGATCCTAGCAACAATGCAAAGTTAGATCACTCGAGTGACACTAGATGACCGATATGCAAACAAGTTTGCTCCTCTTGATAGTACGGCCATCTATTCTAAACCCAGTCATAAATTTCTCTATACACCTATGACTGGTGAAATGAAATGCCTTACAAATATACCTTTGTCTTGCGTATTCCATTACATCTCCTCCAATGTTGATGCAACACATGCACCAACCATATCACAAATGATATGATCCACTTCATATCATCACGCGACCTTGTTGGTCCATCGATCTTGACCTCACTTGCTTTTTACCGTTGCCTTCGTCCATCGGCGCCAAGTCTTGCTCAAGCTTCACCGCCACGCGGTCCATCGCTCCAAAGCCTCCAACTTGCCCTTCACGCTTGCAACCGGTCCATCAAGCCAAGTCTTGTCTTGACCTTCTCCACCTTAGTCACATGACTTAATGTCATGTCTCATATGCAATGAGCTCCTTCATCACATGTGTGAGCCTTGCAACATATCCAACCCATCTTCACCATCATGGCATGAGTTGCTCACACAAGTGTACCTGTGGACTAATCACCAGTGTATCTTATATTTAAACACATTAGTCCACCTAGGTTGTCACTCAATTACTAAAACCAAACAAGGACCTTTCAATCTCTCCCTTTTTGGTAATTGATGACAACTCTACAAAGATATGGAAATTAAGCTCATTTGGATTCATGTTGCTTGTCCAAATAATTTTACCATGTGTAAATGATTTTAGACAAGTAACATAAACCTGAATTGGTAGTATTAGCTCCCCCTACATATGTGCTAGAGTATTTGGTTTGAAGCTCGCACATATGCATGGATTGGAATTGTGGGAGAGTAATTACTACCAATGATGCTAAGGTGTAAAGAATTAACCTTTGATGTGTGATAC